TTTATTCAACAACATTGTAACTGAACTTTAATAAATAAAACTTTAATTACAGTATTTATAATTGTGTACTTATTATGAAAATATTAATTGTAATAATAGTGCATACAGTCAGTATCTTGCCGGTATGTAGGAACATACAGTCAGTATGTATAAATAGCCAATTGCGTGTACATACTGTATGTATAAATAGCCACATCTATTGTTAAAGTACATTTACTTCAATAGGTATACAAGTACATAACTCTATTATTCTCATGTATTAATAAAAAAACAGGTATAGTAAATCTATATTACCTTTAGAGGTATTCACTTATTCACATAGAAGAAACCACCTATTCAAAGACATACTGAAATTCTTCCAAATCTCTCGATCTTTAGTTTAGGTTAGAACGTAGATATAGAATAGATTCTTTTGTTTTTTATTTACGCGTGTCTTATTTATGTTTCTTTTCTTTGATATGTATAATATCTTATTTATTTATTAAATGTGTTAGTATTGTTCAACCCGTGTAGTTATCTGGACACCTCATCACGGTCTCACGACCCCTCCCCATTCATTTTTGCCCTCCTAAGCCATCCGACAACCGAGAGCGGGTCTTTCCAACCCGTGCAGATTAAGTGGTCATTAGGGATCATCCCAGTGGTCCCCTGCTAACTCACAATATTATTATTTAATATTGCTTCCATATTATAAAAATGTTATAATATTTAGAAAATGTTAAAAATATAATTGGCTCATATATAATAATAGAAGTTATCGCATGCTACATTCTGTAAGAAGTAATAAAAAATAATCGAAAGAAATTGAAAAGTCATAATTACCGTAAACGCCATGCAACACAGCAAACAACCACAAATGATACAAGCGAATCTAACACCAACCATCATAACAAATATACATAATCGTACAATCGCCGAACTATCGATAAATAAGAATGCATAATACAAAAAGCTTGTTGCCCAGAGGATACTGAAACAGCAACGAAGACATACTTGAATTTTGTGTTCAATTGATTCATGAATATCCACAATTCTTCATAGCGCATCATCATGTGTTTTAATTTTGTTTTCAAATCATTGCCTTTTCTGTTAATAGCAGACAATTGATCATGAAGTTCTTCAAACTCTTTATGGGCGACAAGTAACATTAAAGCACATAACAATAAGCCGTGAACAATTCCTTCTATGATTAAATTCGTGACAACACCAACGTCAATACTACACAAAAGTGCCTCCAATTGAAACTTTGCAGTTTTTTTCTAAATTAAAGTAATAAGAAGTCAAATTGACAAGCTGAAAAATAGTAATTATAACTATAACAATTAAAGCAAAGAAGAGAGAAACATTTCTCATTAAAATATTACTTTCAACGTTCATTTTCACATAGAAATATTTGTTTCGTAGATTTTTTATGAGATTAATTTTGTTATTATACACGTAAGTTACGCATGCCGAGTAAACTACGGTCACTTTTACGGTTACGAAACCACCCAATACGAATTGCACTTTCATCTAAATTTGGTAATGTTTGCCATATTATAAGAATGGTAAATTGCCACAGCTGCAACTGAATAAATTTCAGATATTTATTTCTTATGTTATCGTTGTCACGTATACAAATTCAATTTATTCAGTAACAAATGCCAAATAGTTCCACGTCGTATTCAAGGGTAACCATCGAGAAAGGTCTTGAAGACAAATCATGCAAATTGAGTTATTGTTATTCGAATTCATATCTAAAAATTTCTCAATATGAAAAACGTCACTAATTAATAAAATTTAGTAAAAACTTTTGAGTGAAAATCCTTATCTACAATTTGTATAGAAGGTAATATTACTCTTTACACATAGAGAACGCCTTATCACGTTTCTATTATCATTTCTTAAAATGCATAACACGAATGATCTAATGGTATAATTGAATAACTAATGGCTTCCTAATGATAAGAATATCATCATAAATGAAAACCCATTTGACAATAATGGCGTCATTTAACATTAGAAAACACGTCATTTTCACAAAAATGTTAAAAGCTAATTGACCATCGATTTTCATTACGAAATAGCAAATGTTGTAGAAACAAATAACAACCTCGATTAAAGTTATGCAATTATTACTGTTGCAAACAATTTAATATAAATTAATGATCGATGTATTTATATTTGTCATCTGTTCACTGTAATATGTATGCTTGGTGTAAGTTTTGTCTACGTTATATAGCCTAAGTCTTCCCAATACATTAAGATGATATATGTAATGAGTGATAAATGAAATTTGGAATTCTATTATTACTACCGTGTTTCCCCCGAAAATAAGACATCCTCTGAAAATAAGACCTACCATAGGTTTTGCTGAATTGCTAAATATAAGGCCTCCCCCCGAAAGTAAGACCTAGCAAAGTTTTTTTTTTTTTTACTCGTAACGGTCATCGACAGATGGTTGAAAGCGGCCGTTGGCTTTTTGAAAGTACAGCCACTGATTGGTCAGCTGACATTCACGCCACACGGCATGATTTGCATAAAACTATGGCTTGGGTATCACAGATTTGCATAATGTTACGGCTGGTGATGGCTAATTGATCGGCCGGGAATCACGCCACATCACATGATACTTTGTAAACCACTCCTGCAACATCATGTGATTGTTTACAAGCGAAATCATATGTTGGAGAAACGGGACGGAGGCTCCAGACACGCCTAAAAGAACACGAGGCAGCGATTCGTCTAAAAGACAAGTGTCATCTTGATATTAACACTGTAGTAATTATAATTGTAAAATTGATAGAAATTCTGTAAAAATATTGTATAAAATGGAAAATTGGTTTAAAAGACGAGTGGTAGAGCATTTTTTATTGTTGAACATGTAAATTTGTTAAATTAGAATGTCGGTCTAAATATTGATGCATGCTGGGAAAGATTTATTTGTATAAAAAGGAACGAGTTGCTTGCTGTTGGACAGTGCTGTGCGATGTCTATAATTTTAACATCGATGTCAAACATCGATGTTTGCCTAAGCATCGATGCTAAATTTCGATGTCGGATTTCACATCGATGTTTGATCGATGCCCATTGAAACATCGATGTCCAATCAAGATAAACTCAAACAGTTTAAAAAAAAACAAAATTTAATTTTATTTTCAACTTGTATAGTTCAATTACAGTTCCAATGCATACAGCTCCTCAATTGATAATAAATTTAAAACTAGAAGTTTGTGTACATTCTTTGGCTTTGAAGAACTCTGCTTTTTGTTGATAGTATTTCCAGCTTTTCAAAATAATCTTTCTGCTGGAACTGAAGTGGCAGGAATGCAAAGCCACTTCATGGCAAGTTCACATAAATTATAGTTAAAAAATTTCATGGATTTCCACACATCCAAAGCATTACTATTGTGAGGCACAATAGGGTCATCTAAAAAAGTTTTAAAATTTGAATTTAAAGTTGCATTTGTGTTAACATTTCTATCTTAATATCAATTTTTCTGGATGACCAAAGGTCATCATCTTCAAGTTTATTTTCTGCATTATTGTGAAAACTTATTTGAGCCTCAGCAGAGGGAAATTTACAAAGTTCTGCATTTACACATTTAATTGCATTTGCACAACATGCTGGACTTTTAAAATCTAGCTTTTTGAACCTTGGGTCTAGTAATGTGGAAACACTATATACTAACTTCGTCTCAGTGGATTTAAAACGGAAATCAAGATTACTAAAACATTTTTCCAGCAACTTCTTTCCCACATTTGTTTCTGTAGAAACCTTGCAAAGTGCATTAAACATTAACCGTAAAAATGGGATAATTTTACTGATGGTAGTGTGAGTTTCTGCTGAAATTTCATTAGTTACTTTATAAAAAGGTTTTAGTACTTTAAGCGCATCATTCAAAGCACTTAATTCTCTACCAGAGAG